TGAGCTAACATCCGTGCTAATCCTCCTCTTTTTGCTGAGGAAGACCGGCTCTGAGCTAACATCTATTGCCAATCCTCCTCCTTTTTTTCCCCGAAAGCCCCAGTAGATAGTTGTATGTCATAGTTGCACATCCTTCTAGTTGCTGTATGTGGGACGTAGATAGTTGTATGTCATAGTTGCACATCCTTCTAGTTGCTGTATGTGGGACGTGGCCTCAGCATAGCCGGAGAAGTGGTGCGACGGTGCGTGCCCAGGGTACCAACCCAGGCCGCCAGTACCCGTGCGCGCAAACTTAACTGCTAAGCCACGGGGCCGGCTCTGTATTTAATTTTTTAGTTAGCTTTTTTTTTAATGATTAGAAAAGTTACCTAGGCCCTTAACAGGTATAAGGAATAAAATAAACATCCTCTGTTATTCTGCCACCTAAAAAGAAGCATTGTTAACATTTCTGTGTCTATTCCGTCAGACTTTGTCCTTTGATATATACTTTTTTATTTGACAAAAAGTGGGACATTATACAGACAACTTTGTAACTCACCTCATTTTTCTTAATGGTATGTTGTGAACATCTTTTCATATGACCATTATTTTTACAAAGAAGCCATTTTTAATGGCTTCACATTCCACCTATGGATGCACCATAATTTACTCAATGTCTTTATTTATAGGCATTTAGATTGTTTCCAATTTTTTTGTAGTTATAAGCAATTTATCAATGAATATCTTTATAAATTGTTGGTTACCTTTCCTATTATCTTACTAAAATAAATTCTAAGACATAGAATAGCCAGGCAAAGGGTATCTTATTTTAAGGCTTTTCTAAACAAAAGCCACATTACCTTTCAGAAAGGCTGTACAGATTTTGATTCTTGATATGGCTAATGCAAATGCCTATTCCTTATACCTTCATCTGGATTTTATTCTTTCTAAATCTTTGCCAATCTGTTAGGTAAAAAGTGATATCTCACTGTTAGTTTTATTTCCATTTTTTTCTAATTTCTCACGAGGTAGAACATCTTTTCAAATCATTACTGATACATACATGACTAGCTTGTTCATGCCTTTTGACTTGTTAAGAGTTGGTATGGTTATCGTCTCCTTAAGGATTTGGGAGAGCTCTTGCTACACTTATTATGTAAATCAAACATTATTAGATACTAAGGATAGCAACCGAGCATATATAATTAAATAACCTGTTTGTCATACATTACAATTGTTTCTCCATTTCACTATTTGTTTTTCAACTTTATAAAGTCTTTTGCCATATGAAAGGCACAATTTAAATTATCAATATTTTCAAATTATCAATATTTTCCTTTGTTTTTTGAACTGACATCACGTTTAGAAATAGAAGCAGGTCCTGTCCCAATACATAAGTTGCTTATGGATGCAACTTAAGTCTGGTACAGCCGAGTTGTGGCACCCAACTTCCATGTTGTGTAACCTTAAGCATGTTACTTAACCCGAACCAGTTTCCTCATCTGCAAAGCGAGATAAATAGCACCCACTTCAGCCCCTGATATAAGGGTTAAATGCCTGACACAGACAAAGCATCCAGCAAGTGTTAATTCCTTTTCTTTGTACTCAGCGAGGCATTATTAACGGCCAAAAGTGTCCATCTCCCCTATGAAGACTAAAATAAAAGACTGGGAGGTGTAATTTTTGGTGCGTTTACATTTAAACATTCTTTCAAGGAGCTTTTAGAAGCAGCTCATTAAACTACAAACCCCATAATGCACATAAAAGAACCATAAAGTTTCTGTGTAGGAAGCCGTTGTCGCTTGGAGGAGGGCAAAGAGCCAAGTACTTTTTATTCTCTGGATTTTCCCTCCTTAAGACACCGTCCCCCCACATTCCCCCTCAGCACATAAGGTTGCTTTTCTTCCTCTTGGAAGGCTCATTTCCTAGGTTTCAAAGTAAGCCTTCAGTTATAAGGCGAAAAGGTATCGAAATTAGAGAACTGTGACTACCACAAAATTCATTAGAATAAATCTCATGGGCTGTGTAGGACCGAGACACTGTTGAAATAACTCTCACCTACCGTGGATTTAGTAGAAAGAAAAATGATAATTAGCACTATAATATAGCACGACTATATCCAGTAGCCATTTTTACCCTTCGAGAATCTGGGCTTAGTTCCCCATGAGCGAAGCTCGCACGCTCAGCCACTGCCTCCCGTATACATTATTTAGGAGGGACACAGTCTCGTATTTGCATACGACGGTGGATCCATTGCTTCAGGGCGTCCAATTAGCCCTGCGCCGACACGGCCGTAGCTCCGCCCGCGCACGGCTGTGTACAGCCGAGCATGTGATCTCCCATCCGCCCAGGCCCGAGCGCCCTACGCGGCGAGTGGCGCGCGCCGCGGCTCTTTCCAGCTTGCGCGCGCCACTCAGCCCGCGCTGCCGCCTCCAGGAGCAACATTCCCTTCTCGCCCTCCCGGCGGCCCCACCAGCCCAGGTTCCGGGACGGCCCGGCGCGGTGGGGGGGGCGGGGGGAGAAGGGGGCTCTTCAGGGAGCAGCGGGGAATTCCCCCTTCCACCGAACGTTCCCGATTGTTCGGCGTCCTCACGTCAGCAGCAGGGGGTAATCCCCGACTCCAGCTGCTCCTGACGTCACCGCGCGGCTCCACCGCCCCCCGCGCGCCCCTGCGTATGGGGCCTCCTCGAAGCCCCGCCCCAAGGCATAGCCACGCCCTCTCCCCTTCCCCCAGACGCCCGACGTAGAGGGCGGGGCTTCCTTGGCCGGGGCGTGAGCGGTTGCTTGGGCCAGAAGGTTCTCTGGTAGAGGCGCTCCTGCTGCCCCGCCCAGTAGGTTCGTTTGCAGCGCTTTTTCCACACCCTTTCTCCCTCCTTCTCGTCGCCCCGCCTTTCCCCTCCCTTCTCCTCAACCCCTCTAGTTCCTTCCCCGCCTCGCCACCTTCCACGATCTCGCGAGACTTGGCTCAGAACATTGCGGATCGGGTCGGCGCCATTTTGGGACTGAGACTGGTTGTGGGGGAGGGAAAAGCGGCAAAAGGGGATTATTCAAAGTACCGAAAACCTCCTCCTGTGATCGAGCGCAGTGGCTCCCCCAGGCCAGGGGCACCTCTGGTGTGGCAGAAGGTAACACCGGCCTCTGTGCTCCGCGCCAGAGTCTGGGGGAGGAGGGGGGGTGCCCGTGTCGGCGTGGGGGTTTGAGGGGTCGGGAGCGGCGTTGGCGGCGCGAGGTGTGAAGCTGCCTGCGGACTGGGGTGGGGGGTGGCGGAGAGCAAGGCGAGAGCGAGAAGGACGGCGCGGGGAGGCCCCTCTGGGTATTGACTCGGCCCCGGTGCAGCGGAGGTGGCGGTTGTGGGGAGGGGGTGCGTGGCTTCGCCTTGGCGGCCGGGGGGAGGTGTTTGGCGGAGGCTGGAAGCGGGTCCGACGCTCTCGGGGCTCGCTCTTCCTTCCTCCGGCCTCTCGCGCACACCCGCCTCCTTTTGCACCACTGCCTCTCAGAGGGCTGAGGGAGTCGAGGCCGAGTTGTGGCCTTCGGTGGTTTCTTGAGCAGCGCGCCCGCTCTCCCCGCCTCTCCCAGGTCCGTGGCACTAGCTGTGGACCGAGTCGAGTGCTACCTTGTCCTTCCGAGCCCTTTGGAGTCTCAGGAGACCCGTTCTGTTTGGGGAGAGAACCCCACTTACGTCGTTTACGCAAGGGCTCTATACCTTCCGCCCCCTCAGTGTAGGGAGAAACCTGTTTTCTTGATTCAAGGAAATGGGAACCGACAGCTTGATCCCACTGCTGCCCTCGGAAGCCGGGGAAGTCTCACCCTGTGGCGAATTTAAGGAATGTTCTCGCCCCACTTCTCTTCCCCCTCCTTTTCTACCCTTAGTGGGGAAAATGTGCCTCTTTTACACCTTCTAATTTGGAGAGAGCGTCTTCTCTATATTCCTCGTTCTCTAAGTTGCATATACTAATGCTTAGTGGCACCACACCTGTCTGTTCTTTTTCCTTTGGTACGAGTGGAAAATAGAGATCTGTTATAAGATTGTATGCCAGCTTCATAGTTTTAATATTTATTCAAAAAGTATGGGAAGGTTTGCTTATGTAATCTTCAGTGTTATCTCCGCACCCCCTTCCCAGTTGAAATCAGTATTTGCCCTCCATAACGTCATCTCCCACCTTTTTTTCTCTCTCTGTTCTTAAGTCGTTTTCATACGGTGGACTTTTTTGGGGTGTTTGCTTGGGCATAGCCTTTTTCTAGACCCCAGTAGAATTGTATAGAATTTCTCTCCAGAGGTTGACTCTTTAAGATGGGGTTTAATGTTTAGCTCAAAATTAAAACTCAGTATGTAATTTAAGTTTTTTTTTTTTTTTTTTTTATAACTTTTACAGGTGATTGAATTACTCAGATATGAAGATCATCTTCTAGGTTTTGTGTAAAAGGCCCCGGATATTTCAAGTGGCCATTTTGGAATTACAATGTTTTTGGATAATTTTGCCCCAGAAGTTTATTAAAATTGGCAAGAATCATCTCTGAAGTGAATTGATAGTAGTGAACAATTCTGCAAGCTACTTAAAAAGAGACCCAGGCATTTCTTCAGTATTTTGGTTCAAACGGATTATATAACTGGTTAAAGTGTTTCAGCTGGTGGTATTTTTGCCTTTCCCCCCAACCCCCTCCCCTGTTGTTGGTGTTCTTCAGCCAAAACTGTAAGATATGTTTGATTTGTGTACTGAGTAGTTTCGGCAGTTTCAGATTACTCTTTAAATATTGCTGAAGTTTCATGGCAGTTTATTTTTACCTTTATTAAAAGTTTTAGGAATTTTTGACCTCATCCGTTTTCATGTCACAATGGGACAGCTTTTCTAAATGAAGACATTGAAAGAATAGAGGTTTTTTCCTTTTATCTTTTATTTACGTGGAAATTTAAGATGTTGCAGTTTCCCAGCAGCATGGTAGTATTGAGATAGCTATGTGTCTCTGTATATGCTGATTAGGAATGCTCTTCAGATGTGAAATTTTCTTTTTGTTTTTGCTTTTTGGCTCATAAATTGGATATTTCGTCTGGAGTGGATAAGTACAACAGTGACCAGTACATGGAATAATAAAGAAGACTTTATAATCTTAAATCCAAGGAACTTGGCTAATTCTGGAGATAGCCATATGAAAACTTGAAAACAAGTATGGGTAGCTGACTTGAAGTAACTCTATGTCAAATAGTCATAGGTTAAGTATCTTCAAAGAACTTGGATATTATTTCAGAGGATACAAAATAAAAAAACAAACTGGAAAACATAAAGATTACGGAGAAAAACCCAACACCTTCCTGTGCAGTCCTCTTGGAATTTGTAAGTACTATATGGTGAGCAAATCAAATGTTCATTTGTAAACTGTAATGAGAGTCAAGTTTATCCTATGTTATTATTGGAAGCCTTTCAGTTTCTTGCAGTAATATTGCTTGGTTTCAGTTTCCTGGACAGTCTGAAAACAACTATTAAAGTAAATTGAAATGCAGAAAGAGTTAAGGTTTAAGAATATTTCAGATCAAAGAGTCCGAATTTTAAGTTTTTGTGCTTCTGAAGTAAAAAGCAAAATCCATATGGTCGGTGTTCACCTTAGGCTTAATGGGGATTGCTAGAAAGGTAGGAAAAAACCCAACAAATATTTCACGTGTCTCAATAGCCAGTTTACTTGCTAAATGTGAGTTTAGACTGCATTCTAAATGTGGTTTGTGTTCCAATTTAGAGTTAAATATTTGTTTAAAACAAATTATGATACAGGGCTTGATTTTTAATCTGATATTTCATGAAGTAGCTTGTTTTAAGGCATAACTGTTCCTAACATTTTAATCCATTATAGAAATTAAGTTTTTGAAACAATTTGTTGAAGTGGTTTTGCATTTCAAATTATTCCTTAAGATCTCAGTTCAAAAGTCACATCATTACTAGGAACAGAAACTGAGAGGAACCGAGCAAGATGCTTTAAGAACCTTTAAAATAACTTAAAAAATGAGTATAGTTTTTTTCTCTTAGGAAGGTTGTGCTGGCTTAAGTTTATAAAGAAAACTTTTTAAAAAAAATTGTGAATATTGTTGTGATAGAAACCCTTTTGACAAGTGAGAGAATTACATTTTAATAATATTTGTATTTTTCAGGATTGATGGTGTGTTTAATTACCATTAGTTGCTACATTTAGTTTTTCAATCATAGGCATTCATGAGGAATGTTTATTTTTAAGAAATTTACTAAAATTTATTTTTTAAGCCATTAATATTAGTGGGCAGATCAATGTAGCTGAAATTAGAGTTTATTTCATTTAATTATCTTTCTGAGATAAAAGATTGTAATTTTTGAACGCTTTGCCAAGATGGCCTAATAACTTGTCAGTGGCTCATTGGCTTCGAAACAGAACTTTTTTTGCTATGCTATTGAATCCTCTTAGCTCACTTAGAGCAGAAGAGGTAGTAGAGTCCAAAAGAATGTAGGTATTTAGATATGCATATATAGCATTTATTTTCTGACCTAAATTGAGATTTGAGTTTAATAGTTTTTTTCTGTTAGAATAGACTAGGTTGTGTTTTCTCTGTCAGACCTTTGTGTAGTATTTGTAATTGAATTTCCACCTTGATTTATATAAAAATGTGGCGAGAACATTCTCCCTCTCTTTGCTTCTGAGAGCCTGTATTTTTGTGCATTCTTCAATTTAGTGGCTTTTCAAGTTACTCTTCGAGCATTTTCTAAGAATATGCATCTTAAAAGTGACCAAGAAGTTGAAATGAATGACCTTTATTCGTAGAAAAGAACCACGTAACATATGTTATTTGTGATTATTTTCTTTTAAATTGCTCCTCTTGATGTTGTTACCCAAGCAGTAGTATCAGGATAGAGCTTACTCCAGCGACTAGGGATCTTAACAATTAACTTTAATCCTTGAATAGTCTGGCATTTGTGAACTTTGTTTACAGCAATTGTTCAAGGACAAATTTACTTACTTGAACATTTTGATAAATATTTTATTTTATTGGCATTGAAATATATAGTACCAAAAGTAATTGGAACAGTTGCTGGGCTGCTGCTTTTCCCTCCATAAGTACTTCTTTTTCTCCTATCTCCCTTACTCTCATTTTTTTCTTCTTTTTTCCTCCTATGCCTGAACTATAGGTGTAAAAATAATAATCATAATGACTAATATTTATTGATGATGATTGTGTCGTGTATTTTGCTGTGTGCTTTACATAGTATATCTCAATTCTTAGAATAATCCTATGAGGAAAGCACTAATAGTTACAGTGGTATAGGTGAGAAAATTTAAGATTTAGGGAGACTGAGACTGGGAGAAAGGTAACTTAGGACCAAGGTTATGTTGGAGTCTTGGCCAAATCTCCAAGTCTGACTTGAGAGCCCCATGCTCTTAATCAATATGCCATACTTAAACTGTCTTCTTGTGGATTATACTTTAACTGATTTATTTTAGAATTATTCTTGATATTTTTCTATTTCTTTTCATGTACTACTTCTCTTTGGTTAATATTGATTATTAGTGGAGTTTGGAGACAAGCTGAAAGACGAGAAACTACTGTCAGTTTTGCTGTTTGTTAGTAGCTATTTGAATAACTTTGGTTAGCTAAAAATTAAAATGTGGTTTCAGGTAATACTCAGATTTCATTCACCCACAGCCTCTTTGTATGGGTATGGAGCTAAATGCATGTTAGCTTTGTATTACTTTTTCTCTGTTTTTAAACTGAGATTACTACATGGAATTTTGTGCTTAAAGCTGCTGACACTTTAGAATTGAGGAAGGGAGGAATAATAGGGAAATACAGGAAAGGGAAATAATAGGGAAAGAACAGGAGTGAGCAAAAGAGAAGAAAGTAAAATTTAGAGATTTACAAGAGAAGGGAATAAGGATGGCAACCTCTACTCTGAAAGTAAAGTTAATAAGTGAGGACAGAACCTAAACCCAGGCCAGATTATTTAGTTGTCTTTGACCCAATTACTTTTTCTGTTTAATTTTTGATAAGAATGTTTAGATAACAATTTAGATCCAGGTAAGGGTAGTGATGTAGGAAAAAAATAATGGGAGTTAGGAGATTTTTGGTTTTGAGTTTGGAATATCGGAAAATAGCCTATGTGGCTTTATAAATTCATCTGACCTCTTTTGACTTTAGTTTCTTCATAAAACTGATGGAAATAATGTATATGAAGGCTTTTTGTTAATTGTAAAGTGTAATATAGATGTAAAGTTTTATTCTAATTACAATTTTCTAAGATTCTGTGTAATACATTTTACGTATCAAACCAATATTTATCATATAGTCTTTGAAATTATTTATTCTATCTCTTGTTTCTGTTAATGGCGTCAGTTGCATCACATTCATGCCCTGTGTTCCCATTTCCAGTTTCATTTATTCTAGCTTGGTCCTTGACTAAGAAGTAACTTACTAACTCATCTCTTTGCCTTCAGTTCCGTTCTCTTCTCCCCATAGTCTCTCCTGTGGCCAGAGAAATCTACCTAAAGTATGGCTCTTGGTTTTGTTACTTAAGCAGCCCTTAGGGTCTTGTATTTGGTATTTTCAGGGAGGGTAGGTTGGAAAGAGATGTGTCGTTCCCCCCGCCCCGCACCCCCTATTTAATGGTTTATATGTTAGGGGTTCCTAACATGAATTCTTTTTGGCTGCATAGGTGGGCGTGGGAGACAGTGGTTTGAGAATTTTCCAAAGTTAATAATTTCGGGGATGCTTATATGTATTTTTCTGGGGAGCAGGTCTGTTACTTTCAACAGGACCCTCACGAGAAACAAAATGTTAGCATTACTGATAAACCTTTTGTGGTTGGGTCTCTTTTTCAGTTTTACCTGCTTGCTTTTTCCCTTTTTGTCAGTTGCTCCACCCAGCAGAATAGTTACAGGCTTTTGCTCTATATCCCTTCAAGTAATTGCTAGTTTCTGCATCTTTTTATACACGATATCCCACTCAGTTTCTTGTTCTTGAGTCATCTTTCTGTTCACAGTTTGATGAGTGCAATGTTTTTGCTCTTTCATTTTCTGCCCTTTAATTCAGTTTTCAGATTACATTTTTTAAAACCATATTTAAAAGTTTTTTCCATTCATTTTTCTTTTGTTTTTTTTTTGTTTTTAGTAAGAACAAGAGTTTTAAAATCTTGGTTAAATAGGTTGTGTTTCCTTTGCAACTCAGAACTTGTATAAATATATATATATATATATTTTTTTTTTTTTTTTGTAGGAAGATCAGCCCTGTGCTAACATCTGCCAATCTCTTCTTTTTTTGCTGAGGAAGACTGGTCCTGGGCTAACATCCGTGCCGTCTTTCTCCACTTTATAAGGGATGCCACCACGGCATGACTTGCGAAGTGGTGTGTTGGTGTGCGCCCAGGATCCGAACTGGCGAACCCCGGGCTGCCGCAGCAGAGTGCGCACACTGTACCACTTGCGCCACTGGGCTGGCCCCTGTAAATATATTTTTAAAAACTCTTAAACTGAAAAATTGTCAAGAATAGTTATCTTTATCTTTACATATGCGTACTAGTAAAAGACGTTAGTTTGGTTTTCAGTGAACGTAAATATACTTTTAATGACTTTTTAACAAAATAATAAATATTTATTATCTCACATGGTTTCTGTGGGTCAGAAATTTGGGAGCAGTTTAGCTGAGTGGTTCTGGCTCCTTCCAGGTCTTTCTTAAAATTTCAGTCAAGGTGTTGACCAGGGCTGCGGTCGTTTGAAGACTGGAAGGCTGGAAGATCTCCTTCCAAGATGGTATTGGCCTTGCAGGTTGATGCTGGCTGTTGTCTGGGGGACTCAGTTCCTTACCATATGTGGACCACTCCATGGAGGTGCTGCTTGAATTTCTTTGCAACATGGCAGCTACATCTCCCAGAGCAAGTGATCTGAGAAGAGAGAGGTAGAAGTGTAGTGCCTTTTATGACCTTTTTCAGAAATCAGTTGTGCCACATTCTTTTCTTAGAATTCTAGCCTGCAGTCAAGGGGAGAGGTGTTAGGCTCCCCCTTTTGTCAAAAGAATTTGTGGACATATTTAAAAACCGCAGTAGGAGGTAATCCTTCGCAATCAGTAGTCGTCAACATAATTAGCCAAAGTCTTCACCCCAGAAATAGGAGGTTGGGCTATTATAATTTTAGAGAAGAGAGTATTTCTAAATTTATATGAATTTAGGAGATTTAAATCTTTCTACTTTTCTAGCCCCTATGAGATAGGAAGGTAAGGTTTTTTTTTTTCCCCCTTTTACATTAATCTCCCAATCAGCGTAATGAGGGAGCTCTTTTTTTAATTGTGGTAAAATGAACATAAAATTTATTATTTTAGCCATTTTTG